TCATATCGAAGTAACCCTACCTTTCAGGTTCCTTCTCACAACCCTACTATCCAGGTTCCTTCTTATAGCCCTATTATACAGGCTTTCATATCGAAGTAACCCTACTATCCAGGTTCCTTCTCGCAGCCCTACTATCCAGGTTTTCATATCGAAGTAACCCTACTATCCAGGTTCCTTCTCACAGCCCTACTATCCAGGCTTTCATATCGAAGTAACCCTACTATCCAGGTTCCTTCTCGCAGCCATACTATCTAGGCTTTGATATCGAAGTAACCCTACTATCCAGGTTCCTTCTCATAGCCCTACTATCCAGGCTTTCATATCGAAGTAACCTTACCATCCATGTTCCTTCTCATAACCTTACTACACAGGTTCCTTCTCACAGCCCTACTATCCAGGCTTTCATGTCGAAGTAACCCTACCATCCAGGTTCCTTCTCACAGCCCTACTATCTCGAAGTAACCCTACTATCCAGGTTCCTTCTCACAACCTTACTATTCGGGTTCTGCCTTGCTGATCCCCAGAAAACAGTCCACAACACCGTAAGACCGGGACCCGATCAAACACAATTGATTTCACATTTCTCAAGAAAGTCGCGGTGCAGCATATACCCCGACCAAACATGCAGTTCACTTCCGCTTCCCAAACCGAAATTATTCCCCAGTAGAGTAACGTACAACTGAAGCTCCTAAAACTCTATTTCCCTCAAGACAGAGACCGACATTCCCCCGCGAAGTCCTCCTCAACAACAGGTATACGAGTTCTCGCAAAGGAATCTCGCATGCGATCAACACTTCTTCGGATGTCATCTTTAAGACCATCTCCGACAATTCCCTAGAAACTACCAAATGGAATCTTTAAGCCCATTCCCGATATCACAAATCAAGTGCCACTTCATGCGAGTGCAAATTTCTGGGCACTCTAGTGTTCAATCATCTTCCACCTTTAGATCACGAAAGGCAAACAAGCCAATCTACATCCTCAGGTTTAATAAAATTGAACAGGGGCAGCTGTTGTACCCCAAAATTTTCCCTCCCATATTTCTCAACACATGGCAAGTGAGGTCCTCAAATTGCTCAAGGAAGTCCAAGAGTTGACCAGACAAACTCTCTCCTAAGGCAGTCTATCTCAAATTAGGGTTTCATTTTTCATCAAGATACTTGAGTCCAAAGGATCCCAAATGCCTTCCAAGATCCTAATATGTTCTCAAGATCATCCATGTCAAGTTTCAAGCCTTGTAGTAGAAGTTTTCCCAGTCAATTGCTCAAATGCCTGAAAATCGACTGTGCTAGGGAAAAAGTCAATTGTGGCCCACATACAGTCAAACTTCAAGATTTTTGGTCAATATCCTCATTTTGAAGTATCATTCATCATTTGATCAAGGGTTGATCATGATTCATCAAGGATTTCTCACAATTCATCAAAACCCAAAAGTTGCTAAATTAGGATTTTGCAGGAAAAGTCAACTCAACTTTGACCAAGCATAACTTTCTCATACTTCATAATAAATGAACCATCCAAATATAATTTTTAAGGGGATGCAATTCCCTACAATTCATCTTCAGCTCCCAAGTTCAAAATATGCACTCACAAAAAGATATGAATTTTGATATTATAGGTCATTTTGAAAAGTCAACAAAAACACCTTTTGGGTCAAAGCTTCATACATGAACATGGAAGACTCAATTGAGACAATACCAAAAGGGTTGCTTATGGGACATCCTAAGATTTCTAAAAAGTCCAAGAACACCTCTCCAGGGTCAAAATTGAGTGAGTTATGCATTTGCTAAGTTGACCTTTTTTGCAAAATTGCCAAAAGTCAAATGTGCTCAAATTTGTATTTTTTTGCTAAATGGGCCCAACTTTTTATGCATACACCTCAATTATAATGTGGTCCACGACTCAAATGATTATCCACCAATTGTTTGCTTCATTTTTAAATTTATTTTGATTTTTCATTAATTAAAAATTGAATTAAATCAAATAAATGATGAAAATTATCAAAGATTTGATTTGATTGGTTTTTTTGACAGGTTAGCAACCAAGATTTGATGAGCTTGCAAGATCAATTCAAATCAATGGTAATTGGAACAAAAAGAGAACGATTAGGCCAAATTTGGAAAGTTTACATATGCCAGTAAAACAAAATTAAATCTTGAAAAACTTCCAAAGATGTGATCAGTTTTACAACCCTAATGCATTCTATAATATATATTGAACGTTTCCAAAGCAAGAATAAGGGTTAACAGTCGTGCATAGCCAAGAACCAAACTTAAAAATATCAAAGAAAAGTGGTGATTCAATCTTGCTCTACAAGTCGTCTCAAACCATCCCAACTATCCCAATCAATTGCTGGAAGTTTCAGGAAGCTGTCCCAAGCGTCTGCAGGTCATAACACCCACAAAAACGCCTTGTAAGGGTGTCACAGTTTGCCATGTTTTTGAAATTTGATTATCATGATTCATGCATTATGAGCATGTTTTAATAGCATATATATGTTTGTCATCGTGTTTGTAACGTGTTGGTTATGTTCAATTGAGTTTTTGATGCGTATACTGACAATTGCCATGGCTAGGGTTTGAGGTCACGATTTGGGGATTCCTGATACATGTTAAATTGGGCCATGAATGAGGTACCATGATACTCGTGAGACCAAGACGAGTTGATTGGTACCATCATAATTGATTTATCATGCTTGTATGGAACTTTTGAGTGACACAGGGCTGTAGTTACAACAAATGTCTGTAGGTAAAAGTCCATAAACATAAGACGACGGTTCCTTGGAGAAGAAGGTGCGTGTCAGCCAAGCACTCGCCCATTCAAATTTCGCGCATTTGGGTTTCAGTGTTTTGGTTTTCATTATATTATATTTTGCTTTTATTGTATAGACAAATAACAATTGCAGCGCAGCTGGCAACATGGAATTGGCAGAAGGCATAAGGACCTGGGTTCGATCCCAGGTCCAGACAACTTTCTTTATTTTCTTTTCCTTCCACAGATTCAGTGCAAATCTCTTTTACACGCCTACCATGCACCTTCAATAATCAACCAGTGGATGCAGCAGTCAGCCAGGTGTACGCGCTCCAGCCTGAAGGACTACCATGCGCCTCAAGTCAACCTACACACCAGATCCAACAAAGTCAAATGGGCTTGGATCATTTGGGCCCAGAAAATTCAGATTCCAACCCCCATGATTGCTAATACACAGGCCCATCTCATCTTCCTTTATTTATTTATTTTAATTCTTTTAATACTTTCTTTAATTATTTTTAATTCACTAATTAATCTTTTTTTCCATAAAATCATAAAATCAAGAAATCAACAAATTAGAATTAGACTTTTTTTTATCAAAATTAATTTTGTTAATTTAATTTAATTTAGTATAATTTAGGGAAATTGTAATTTACTTTCATAAATAAAATCAAATAGAAATTAGGTTAAAACGCTTGATTTAATTTTATTTTCTCTTTTTTCTCAAATAAACAAAAATACAAAAAATAGGTTTTTAGATTGAATTAATTTATTTTCCTTAATTTAGAATTAATTAGAAAGTAGGATTTTCTTTTTAACTATTTTATTATTTTCTTAAAACATGACAAAACAAAAACATTTTTTTAATCAATCGCCAATAGGTTTAGTCAAGGGTCAAAACCCTAGTTGTCTTGTACTTGATTCATCGCGCGCGTGTTAATTATTTTTGCCAATATTTTTTGTAACTGTTCATGGTTTGTAATAGTTTAATCTAGGTATTTTTACTTATCGCTTTTCCCCGGGTTTTTGGCTATGTAATTAATCCCCCTCCCCGAAGCCTTGTAATAGCATAGATTTACTTTCTCGCATTTTAATTCCCGCAAATATTTGACTGTTTAGATGTATGCTAATAGGATTGTATAACAAGAATGCATGACAAATTAATACAGTTAGCAAACCCTAATGTGCAAAGATAAATAACTGAAAACAAATCACTCGCACATATCACTCTTAGGGTGTACCCTTACTTCGGTTGCCTCCGGTAAACGATCATTAAGTATAAGGTGTCTTAGTGGTTGCCCTCCTTTCTAAAAAAGATCTAATGTCCCGTTCGAATGTTGCCTCGAGAAAGATCTTAAGACTCTAGGGTTATTATTAAGGTATCCTAACATTGCTTTAGTGATCGTATGTCCCTTTCAAATTGACCCTTACAATTCCAACGACGGTGCTACCTATTTCTCAATAGTAGGATAGCATTGTCTAAAGGAAACGAGAATAGAAACGATCTTTTTCTCGAGTAGGTAGATGCTAGTAGGTACTTTATCGAATCAAAACTTTTCACACTTACACTTTTCAAACAAATTTTCAAAACAACTTCGTCACACCCTTGAGGACTGATACAAGGGTTATCACGAAGTCAAACTTTTCAAAATAAAACACATACACAAGTAATTTTAAAAAGATGAGCAAGTACCTAAGAGCCCATGGAAAACCATGGATAGAAAGGGTTCTAACACCTTCCCTTTCTATAATCTACCCCCCGTACTCAGAATATCTCAAAAAAGGATTTTTCCTGTACTTTTTTCCTTTCCGATTGGATGAAATAAAAGTCGGTGGCGACTCTTGCTTACCGCGACATTTTGCAAACACAAAACGCAAAACGCAAACCAGTAAAACAGTCGGTTCTGCCACCGTATCACACACCCCAAAATTTTCCCTTCTAATTTCTTTTATATGGATTAGACTTTTGCATTCACATCTTTTCATTAGGTCATCTGCACTGACACAACATGTATTTGCATTGAATAAAGCATCGGAGGTTCAGAAGTTTGGTAGGTGTACAAGCTAGGGTTTTTTTATAGTGAATTGGGATATAAATGTTCAATAAAGTTTGAGTTCCTTGGTTCGTTCCTTAAGTGATGAATTATGAATTAGGTCCTCCTCTTCCCAAACATATGTTTTTGTGCATTATATGAGATGTGGCACCATTGATAGGGTTCAAGTCATTCAGTTGGATTTCTTTCAAAGACATGTGCATCATGTATGTGGTTCTTGTGAATCATGGAGTAAGAAGCTTCATTGTTGTGCTTACGCTTATCATTGAAACTAGGGCTCGTCTCCCAATTCATGTGGCTCACTATCATATAAGGGTTGATTCGATTGATTACTTGGATTACAAGACATAAAACATGGTTTTGATACAAGAGAATAAAGTTTAGATTCGTCTATATTTCACTCCAACAATTAGAGATATATGTATCATGCTTCAAAGTTGCTTTTCTGTTTAACTATGGACTTAGGATATAAAGTCTCCGGGAGTTGAGATTCAATTTTGAGTCCATGGGTTCATTGATCAAGCATGCCATTTGAAGTCAACTGAAATTCAACTTGTCATGAATGCTCGAGTTGCATTAAGGATCGATTCAAGATGAATATGGAATAAAAGTTTTTAATGTGATTTAAGGATAAATCACTTAACTTGCTTGAAGGATAAGATATATGCAAGAGATGTTACAATACTTGTGGATGATTTTCCTAGTTGTCATGTACTCATAATACAAGTGATTCATCAATTCGCTTTGCTTAGAATTTGGATTATGTTTGAGGTACAAAAATAAGATTTTGAACTTGTGGTTAAGGAAGGGATCGTGATTCATTCAAGATACATTTTGAGAAGATGTAAGCATAAGAGGATAAATTCAAAGACAAGTGAATTAATTCAAAGTCTCTTGATTTAACCATGGCTATTGAAAAATCAAGAACTAGAACATATACACTTTCAACCATTAAAAATTCCATAAAAAGTGACAATTTCAATCCAACTCATGAATATATTACATCAAAGGCCATAAACCAAAATTATTACATCCATAAACTCCATTTAATTTCACCATTCAAAATTCAAGACCATACGAATGTTCATGTTTTCCAAAGCTTGGAATTCAAATGCAAATAGGAAGGAAAATATTCATTCAAAAATCATTACATTTTAGGATACTACAATAGGAAGAACACCTAAGTTGGCAACCTAAACTACAAAATAGATTCGGGCCCTACAACCCGACCATGTCTTCCATCCTTCTCTTTGCTACAATTCCATGAAACGTCAATCGATCTTGCATCATTCGTCTACCATGTTGCAGCCTTGAGCGTTTCTTGCACCGTTAATGTTAATTCGTATAGTCGAAAGTTGTCCTGCATATAAACATTTCGCGAAGATCAAATAAAGATACAAAACCAAGTACAAACCATTTCCTGCATCAACTATCCAAAACTGCAGCCGTGTATCAATAAAAAGAGCGGAAAATTAAATTAAAAAAAAAACAGACATGGTTCAGCAGAAGGGATGTCTTTGCCTTTGGAGTATTGCTTATGGAATTGTTAACAGGAAGGAAACCTTACGATGGTGCCAGGCCAAGGGAAGAGCAATATATGGAAAAATGGGCTTCCTCCAGGTTTCAGGACAGCGTGAGTTTGGAACAAATAGTAGATCCCAATATGAAAAGAATAATTTCATTCAAGGCTCTTTCTTGTTATGCTGATCTCATTCCCCTCTATATACAGCCTTCAAAACAACTTCGTCCCCAAAATGTATGAAATTATAGACTCTCTTGTATCTTCATACCAAAAGTTCAACTTTGCAAAGACCAGTGTAGCAGACAATACTGTTCTATTTGAGAAGTCTCTCCAATCAGAAGACATACGCTTTAAAAGTTTGCCAACATTTAGTCATCTATCAACTTGATGCACACCATCTGTTTCATCCTGTGTCATAAAAAACAGCCGAGTGACATTAATGCACAATTTTTAGCTCCTCAACCTCAAGCTTAGCAGAGTGTTTTATCTGCTACGATTCCACAGACATGTCTTGATACCAACATCCGATCTAATACAACATTGACTACCCCAAGTCAACAACAAATTACTCCAAACTACGTCATACATGTTGCAACATTAGTACCTAACAGAAGCAGAGAATATCAGAAGAGGTAAAATATATCATGGCAGCCGCATTTATTCAAGAAAAGTCATAAAGTATAAAGAGAGAAACCGTGAAAACAAAAAAAATAGAGAGGAAAAGTTACAGCAGCCTCAGAAAAAATCTCATCCATCCAAATCTATAACAAAAAATCAAAACCAAAGGCCCGAATTTATTCAGCTCTAACTAACTTCCTAATTCCTAACAATCTAACAAAAACTTCTCAACAGAAAGACAGAAGAGCTAATAAACTTTGAACAGAAGAAGAGGGGGTATAAAAGATACATAACATAAGAAAAATATTCACGATTCATTATTCATTCACACAGAGAAGTATAAAAACAAAAAACTCACCAGAAAAATCTCTCTCTCTCTCTGAGCTCACCATCATCATTCACAAAAATTCACAGAGGATCTTCATCTTCATCCATAATGATACATCACCACCACAAAAAATCACAAACTGTTTGAAAATTCTCTACATCGAACTTCATCCTTCAATTTCTGAGAAGAATCACCACAACTTGAAAAACTATAGAAATTCACTCGGCTTTCTTTGCTTCAACTTTCAAGAACCTTCATCATTTCTACAATCTTCATCTTCCAAGCATAATTTCTATCTCTCACTGGATCTTCATGTAAAAATCTCTATCATTTTCCTCTGCAGAACCTCCGTCACCATAACCATTCTTCACTGTAACTTCACTCTTCAACAACTTCTTGTTACGCCTCAATCATGATCGTCCTTGCGACTTCGTAGCGCAATGACAATATCTAAACTTCTTCAATCCTCCTAAATCATCATCATTTTCATCGCCAATCTCCACCTGTTATCAATAACGGATTACAAAAACGCAACCGCGATAACAACCATCTCATAAACGCACAACAATTGGCGTTCAGAAGAAGAACGAGAAGAAGAAAAGGAGGAACAAGGAGAGGACCTACCTGAGTTAGTATATCGTCGAGATTCGTTGCCTTTGCCGCCGTAAAAAAACATGCGTCATCTTCATCCGATTTAGGCTCGCTTCCTTTTAAGGTCTCCGTTGCGATTCAGATGATGGAAAGTAGGGTTTTGTTCATGGCGTAGTGATTGGAATCAGGGAGGTAAGTCGTGGCCGTGAATTAGGTTCGAGATTCACCGTAGAGTCATCGCTGTTGTGACTGTTGTGATAAGAAACAGTGTTGGAGAGAAGAGTTTCGAACACAATGGAAATTTCAATCGGAGAGTGAGACGAATAGAGGAAGGATGTGTTTACAGCAGCGCCAGGTTTATTTCATGGGAGAAGGAAAATCATAAGCGGCGTAGAAGGAGGGGGGAAAGATGAGTTCATTTGGTGAAGGAATCTGAAAGGTCACATATTGAAGCCTAAGACCAATACTACACTGTTTCATTCCTTTTCCTTCTTTTCTCTTTAAATTCTTTCTCTATATTTCAGTTTTATTTTCTTAACAAATAGATGAACCAAAAAATGTCGTAGTGTTGACTGTTGGCAGGTCTGGGCCGAGCTACATGCTCCTTAAGCCCAAGGATTACATTTTTGGCACCTGAAGCTTATTGCAACAAAAAAAATAACATTTAGGGACCCTTTTATTAGATTGGGCTTTTGGAGTTTAATTGTTGGACTATAGTACTCAAATCGCCCCCTTTCTATTTGAATTTTCTTTTAGTTTTCTATTCATTTTTTGTGAATTATGTTAGGAATTAGTTAAGGACAAAAGATAATAAAATGACAAAATAATTGGTAGAATGTTAATCCCTTATAATTGTTTTGAGTTTTAGAAAATAAGTAGGTTTCTTACTATTAGTTTCCTTAATCTTTTGAGTTTAATTTTGTAAATAATTGAGGATGTTTATGTGCTTTCATTTTAATATCATTTTGAGTTGTAAATTGGATGTTTGAGTTTAACTCATGTTGCCTTGTTATTTGCTAACACTTCTTGTGAGATTGTGCAAGTTTTTTTTGAAAAGCCGTTCCTCGCGGCTCATTACTCTTGCTTGTGATTTATTTTCACCATGGCATGAGATTCATATCGGATATTCTCCTGACTATCTTGTTATTGGTGCCAGCTTACTTGAAGATCGTCGGGTTTCTTTGTTTTGATACGCTTTGCTACAGATTGATATTCGTTTGGTATTTTCCCTTGTTTATCTCATTTTGGTACTTTACTGTTTTTTTTAGATATCATGAGAAGTGGGAAATAAAGAGCATGCGCTCGAAGTCGCTGTTTAAAGACCTGTAGCAGACATTCCGCACTTCATTTACTATATGTGTTGTGCTTGTGTTTGTTTACTTTCTTGTTGATCAATGAGTCACTCAATTTAGAAATTGAGATCACGACTTCGCTCTCAGTGCATGCTCCCTATAGGATTCCATTGCTTTCCTTTATTTCTTGTTGATAGATGAGTCACTCAATTTAGAAATTGAGATCACGACTTCTCTCTCATTGCATGTTCCCTGTAGGATAGTTTTGTTAGACTTTCTTTGGCATGCTAACCTAGATAGGATATCTCTAGGTGTGTTCTCTTGAGTGTATTGGCTTGCTTGATTTTGTCTTTGAGTGCATGTTTTGAGATGATATACCCTCGACATGCTCCCTTAGGAGCTCTCGATTAAACTATAGATGATGATTCGAGATATACATAGTTTTAGGTGATAGACCCTTGCTATGCTCCTTTAGGACTTCTTGATTCATCTATAGATGATGATTTGAGATAGACATTAGGATTTTTATCCAAGCATGTCGACTTAGGGTAGAGATCTCCCTTCAAACTCAACCTTTGGATTAACCATTGTATGATAACATTAGGGATAGATCTAGGTTAGTCTCCCTTAGATGATTTTTCTTTCTTTTGCATCCATGCATTAAAATTAGAGCTTCCTTTTTCTTGAAAAAAGCATAAAACATCTAACAACTTTCAAATCTTTCTTTAAGGTAAAAAATATCAACCAATGCAAACTCTTTTGCGCCTTCGGGCTTTGCCTTCAAATTCTTTTCAAAAAGAACATGTTAATTCACTTCTGTGCTGACGCGTGAGTCTCTAAAGGTCGAGCTGCGGCAGAAGGTAAAATTAATATTGTTCATTAAAAAATAAAAACCTAAAAAACTTTTGAAGCCGAACTACGACTTCTCTAATTCCTTAAAAGGGATACGTAGGCATTGGGGTAGGGCCCGAGCGAGCATAACTTTTATTTTCCCTACATTCTTTTCTCCTTTCTTTTGCATGCATTCCCTGTACATCTTAGATATAGATTCTTACACACCCATAAGATAGACAACAAGATTGGATACCGTAAAGTACTACGGGCGTGTGGGGTGCTAATACCTTCCCCTCGTGTAACAGACTCTCTTACCCGATCTCTCGGTTATTTGATCTTGATTTCACCCTTCTCGGGTTTACTCGATGTTTACCTTTCTCTTCATGTTAGATAAAAAATATTCGATGGCGACTTCATTGATTTTATTATCAGTTGATTATTCAGCCGGTTGTTTCAGCTGGAGACTTCACTGGGGAGAGATTGACCTATTACTGGTCCATCCCGGAGTTGATCATAGCTCTTGTTTTCTTTTCTTTGGGTGTTTATTTTTATGCTTTCAGTTTATTCATTTGTACATGTTTATCTAAGCATATGTTTACATTGCATCTTTATTGTTTTCCATATACTGCTGTTGTGTTGGTTTTCGTGTTTCTTTGTTGGATGGCTGTTACTATGAGGTAAAAGGACTAATACCCAGGCCAAGTGACAAACAATAGGAACACTGGGAATATAGTGGAACATGACGGAAAGGGGATGTAGATTAGCCTAGACGGTTGTGTCATCCATGCTCAGGTGAGGTTTTAATGAGTTGCTATCATTATCACGTAGGTGTAAGATGATAGTACTCTCAAGCGAACCCGTGATTTTGAGTTACCTTTGCTTACCCTGACCTATTTTTCACCTGTGAGTGGGGAGGGAATTGATTATTATAGGTACAAGTAGTGACTATGTTCTGATAGTGACCGTTGTTTTCTGTCAGTGACTATGGTTATTTGGTTAACTCTTTCGGTGACTATGGTTATTTGGTTATGTTATGGACCTTTGATCTTAATATATTCAACTTGGTCAGAGATTATACAACGGTTATTCATAGTACTTGGTTCCATTGTATTCTTGGAGTGGTGTTGAACCTTCGATCCAGTGATATCCAAATTATTCAGCAAATTGATACAGTAGTTACCTAGAGGATTATACAGTTGCTATGCTGAACTTTTGAACCTGTGTTATTGCATCTTGCATCATAGCATGTTTATTTTACACAAAAAAGGAAATGTGAAATATTGTATGCATAATAAGATGTTTGAACATGGCATTGCATCCACTCACTCACCTCATGCATCTTCATGCATTCATAACAGGTACTCAGGATAGGGAATTCTTATTCAGGCCAGATATTTTCTCTTCAGAATTATGAATCTCGACTTCTCACCGCTCTGTTATCTGAAAAAGCCGTGGAATGACTTCGTGGGGAATTGGACGAGATGACAAAAATTAGATGGGGTTATTTATCATGGACATGCAGGTCTTGGCCCATGGTCAGAAATCTTTAAAGGGGAAAAGATAACCAGTTAGAGACTCAGTTGAGTCAGATATCAAAGTTCTGAAGACAATGTCAGCAAGGGAAAGAGATCCTATATATGGTGTTGCTATTGAAGCTTTCATTCATCCCTAGCCTAGGGGACATTTTTTTAGATCATGAGATTCTTTGTGGGTCTCACCTAGAAC